TATGTAAATTGCAAAAGCAAAGTATGGGGCGAGTGTAGAAAAAAGTGGCTCTTTTCTAAAAATGAAATTACTTAAGCAAGTTAAGACCTTATGTTCTAAATTTTATTTACTTATTCCTGTTAGTAATGTACCCAAGAGAATATTTGTTTTATAAATGAGCAACACTTTTATATAATATAATATATATAAATCATTGATTTAATCTATGTAATCCGTATCTTTTATAATAATTTATATCGTTCTAATTATTTCTAATATTTTAGAAATAACAATGGGAATGTGCATTTTTTGTAGACAAATAAATTGTAAGTTATTTCTCAGCAAGCATTATTATTGCTTCTTATCGTACATATCTATGAATGTATGTACATTTTACATACGTATATAAATTCGAGTTACAGGATTCGCTTTACGCTCGATTTATAGTTCGCGACCTCGACGGCCGTTCACACGGTTTTATGAAAATACAATAGGAACCTGAACGTGTTGTAGTACACGACTCCCTAGTGTAATCGACACAGTACCATAAAATTATCTCCAAAGAAAAATTACATTCGTGTATTTTTTTATGAACCTAGAAAAAATACCGAAGCTATTGTAATTACATGAATTTTTATTAGTTCTGTTTGTTCAATAAAAGTGTCCATTGTGTATATGTTTGTACCTATTTATATTGTTATTGCAGCTATTCGATTATATTGCATATTCATGATCGATTTATCGGTACATTGTAACTCTGATTGCTTTACTTTTAAGACTAAGGAGAAAATATACAGAGGAAAATCTACATCGACAAAATTTACTGTGTTTCATGTTAATTGTGATGTTACTTCTAACTGAAATGAAACTTATTATAATGTTCATTTTTTAATATTCATTTACATTCATTAGCAATACATAAAGATTTATACAAAACTAGTGGTTATTGGTTCAGTTATGCTCTTTACTGTATATTTTATCTCTATAAAATTCCCCTGTCACAATGTTTGTTATTCTTATTCTCCGAAACGACTTGACCGATTTATATGAAATTTTTTGTGTATATTCGGTAGGTATGAGAATAGTTTTTCTTATATTTCTTATACCCCTGAGTGATAAGGGTGACCCACCATAATTATTTTTCCTTTAAAAGGATATTAAGAACAAAGAGAAAAAAAAAGATAAATGTTATGTGCTTATATTCAGACAATGTAAAATTATATGATGTGAAGTAAGTGGTGGTCTTATGTTACCGCTCATGCGCAGTTGGTTCGATATTAAGAAAAAAGAGAAAAAAAAGACAAATGTTATGTGCGTAGATTCAGATCTATCTATATATTTATTAGCCACAGCAACGCGTGGCCGGGGCACCCCTAGTGAATTCTATAAAATTTGTTTTTTATTAGTTAAAAGTATAATAACGAAATACATAAATTCCCAATTAATGATTCATTTGTTTTCATTGAAATAAAATTTATTTAAATACTTTTATTTTAGTGTCATTTCATCAAAATGATCCCTTTAAAAACATCTAACACTGATTAAACTACGAATACATATACACAGAGTTCAAGTAATTACTATATCAATTTACCCCTTTATCTACTTGACCTGGTTTCCCCTTTATATTTTAGATCAAATGACTGATATACTTGAAATATTATGTATAGAATTTCTATGCTTATTTATACAGAAAATTAGATTAATCTTTAGTGTATGTTAAAAGGAATTATGAAGACAATATTAAGTTAATTAATATCATATATCTACTAAATTAATATTTTACCTATTAGAAAGATAATAATAGTACTTTCTTCTACTAGTTAGTACGTTGTTTAATTAGATATTTAAAAAATATTTAATCATAAAGTATCGTAATACAAATGATGTTGGATCCATTGTGAAATAACATCATTGTATAGAAATGCAATCAATAATTAACTTTTGAGTGAATGCAAGCATGCTAATTATCTATATATTTCTTCATTAACGATGTGACGATGACGCGATGAGAAAAATAATAATAAAAATAATAATAATAATAATATGAGAACGATAATGGGTACTGTAATATGAGAAATATTTTATTTATCATTAATGAATAATTTAGAAAAAAAATATGAATGTAAACTGATGAACGCTGATGACACAGTCATCATTTCTGATGATGTCACGTGGTCTGCGGCTCAAGACAAGATGAACATTTTACTAAAAAAAGTAGATGTTTGGCTAGTTCTGAATAAATTGTCTTTAAACATTCAAAAGACTTTCTTTATAACTTTTGGATGTTATCGTGATAGCGTACCTCTGACGATTAATATTAAAATCCAAAACCAAATGATAAACAGAGTCGAAAGTTGTAAATACCTAGGAATACTTTTCGATTTTAATATGAGATGGGATAAACAAATAGAGTACCTAATTCACAAAACAAAATACCTAATTTTTATTTTTGCTAAACTTAAAAAAGTTATGGAAACAAAAAATCTAATGACAATTTATTATGCGTTTTTTCATTCTTTAATTAATTATGGTATAATTGTTTGGGGTGGTACTTACAGAAACCCACTGTATTTGCTTCAATGAGTGCAGACAAGGCTGTTAAAGATAATTTACAAAAATAAATTTTATGTAGGTACAATTCCTTTAAACGTAACTCAAATTTTCACCTTGATTTCATTAGTGTATCACTATGATAAGTTAAGAGTCGCTTATTTTAAAGTTATACATAATAGAAGGCAAAAAAATATTCAAGTGCCAAAGTTAAAAAAAACAATGAGTAGTAAAAATAGTTACGTTGTAGCTATTAAAGCTTTTAATAAGTTACCTAATGATCTCAAAAACATGATGAATAATGTGCTTATACTATCAAGCGTAAATTAAAAAATGTTATATGTGATATTGTTTAACTAAATACCGTTATATCACTGTTGAAAATTTTTCTAAAGTTTATTAATGTTATTTCAATGTACTTATATTTTCTTAGTTATATTAGTTATTATCTTATCTTATTATCTTTGTTATATTTTCTTAGTTTTAAGTATTAGTAATTTAAGTTATGTACCAGTCTATGTACAGGTAACTATGTTTACCTCTTGTAGGATTTACTATGTAGTAATTTTTGTTATTATTATGAAAATTTTTCTTTTCTGGTATAAATAAATAAATAAATAAATAAATAAATAAATAAATAAATATATTAGATCGAGTCATAAGTAACTTCCGATGCGGCTATGTAGAATCTATTTTTCGTATTTACCTACTGTAAGTCACCGAAACAAAAGGATTTTCGATATCACTATATAGATGAGGATTCAGTTAGTCTTCTGTTAAATTTTTTATGCAGTCAATGTTACATTTAACCGTTTTTCTTAACCACTAAAATGGATAGTAAAAAGTGCATATTCGACATATAATGCTTTAAGAATTGAAAGAAGGCAATAGCACTAAAGTGGCAACTGAAAAAATATGCAGCGTATACAGTACAGGACTGATAACTGATAGGGCAGTCAAAAATTGGTTTGTAAAATTCTGTTCTGGAGATACGATCTTAAAAGATGAACCGAGTGAAGGACGTATTTCCGACTTTGACGAACCTTTTAAAGATAATATTGGAGCAAAATCCAATAGATACGTTGAACAATTGCAAAGAGTGCAAAAGAAACTCCATGAAAGGTGTCTTGCACTTATCAGTTGCAGAAACGCCATTCTTTGTCTCATAAAAAACGGAAATTACTTATGATTCGACCTAATAAAAGAACATCATATAGTCTTTCTAGATTATTTTCATTCAAAAATTTTTTTTTAATAAAAATTAACCCGTTGATAAACGATTGTGTAGAGAGTTATTAATCGTCAATTTAATAATAAATATAAATAACAATAGGTAGATTTAAAAAATAAAATGTAAATTGTTTTAGAGAGTATAAACGCGATTAAGAGAAATTCGAACATGGATCTCGTCCGATCTCGTGCGATTTCGTGCGAGGTGAAAATCCTTGTGGTATACCACCTCACGGTATAACGCTGCAATAGAAACAAAGGCAAATGTTTGAATTGCGTCTCGTTCGCGTGCGAGATTACGTAACTCTTGCCCATGGCGCTTCGTTATTTAATCCTTTCGTAGAATACACCTAGCCAAAATCTGACCCTAGAACGATTCCGCAATACAACTATTATCATTTATTTCCTATTTATTTTAATACATAATACCAAAGATTATTGACATTTTAATAATTTCATAAACTGATTGTGTTACAAATCTTTTGTTATATTTATGATTAATTAGAAATAGTTTTGGTGTAATATCTAACAGTTTATTATTATTTCGTTATTGGCGATATACCGTGGAAATTCATATTTCAATATAAATTTAATATCTTTAACAGTTTATCCGAACTATCTGAAATTAGATACACCGATAGGATTAAATATAATTTCATAATTATCCGAAAGTAATATATATATAACAAATATTATATAAAAAAATGGACGTGTGTTCGATATTTTCATAATGCTTTAATTATTTTATTTATTATTTCTCTCGTGTTATTAATAAATAATAAAATAAATATTAGATTTTGAAGGAATACATCTGAATATCACATTAAAAGTTAATTATCTGTTGCGTTCAAAATTTGCAGTAAAGTCGATAATCAAGCAAGGTTTTCGGTTTAAATGACCGAACAGTTTATCCTGGAATTAACGGGGTGGATTCGATCTGTGGTTAATCGAACGGCATAGATTGTAACAGGAAATAAGTTGATGTATATCCTTTCGCGAAGGGATAATACATCATTCGGGAAGCAAAAAAATAATAGATAGAGACAGGAAGAAAAAGAGAAAAAGAGGAAAAGAGAAAGAAAGAAAAGAATAGAAATACATGGTAGAAAAAGACAAGTTTTTCTTAGCTTATCCCAGTAGTAGTTCGATAATAACAATACTATCAAAAGCAAAGGTAAAAAGAAAGTCACGTAGTAAGACAATCTGATCTTAGGAGTTTTTGGGGAATCACGTCTTACCTAAAAATAGTTCGTTAAAGTCCCCCTGTCCACCGATAAAGACACCATAGTGTATGTTCAGCTCGAAAAAACGTCCTGGTAGAAGAGATCTTGTCGTGTGGATAACGTCGATTTGCAGAGTGATGTTAGCCTCGCGCCTGGTAAGGTTGACCTCGTGCCAACTCAGGTCGTTCAACGTCAATCCACGAGCACTGGCCATCTCGCTTTCACCGGCACCGAGATTTATATGAACCTGTACAAAAGTAAAAGAGAAACGTTGAAACTCTGAGTTTCGACTCGTACTTTTGCTTAAAAGTTATAACCGCTGAAAGTATGAGAGAAAGAAAGAGAAAGAGATAGAGAGAGAAAGTTAAAATGTTATCCAGCCCTGTAAAGAGTACCTTCGTGAAACTTGGAAGAAGAGTCGTAACGAGGAAACCACCACTACTACTACTATTGCTAGAGCTACTATTACTATCATAACCACTACTGTCTAGAAAGAGCAGTAACAGCACTAGAGTGGAACACGCAAGTACCGAAATTATGCCATGATAAAAATTCTTCACGAATCGTGAACTCGAGATTACGTGCCTTCTGTTTTCCTTTTCATCGAGGTGCCCTCCTCGCCATTTTAATTTTCCGCTTTATCGATTTTCCTTTTTCCCCTTAAGGTTAATTAGCGACGATTAAAGAGAGACTCGTGCTTCTACTACCGTTTACTTTCTTAATACTATTCTAATATTAATTTAACTCGTTCAATTTTCTTCCTATCGATTATGATTGCACAACGTCGTTCTATCAACAAAATGTTTTTTGATGTACGATAATAATACCTACTCTTTCATTCAGGGGTGGTAGAATAGTTAAATAATAAAAAAAAATATATATATATATATATATATATAAAGAAAAATAACAAACAAAGGTAGTGGGAGAAGTAAATCTCGCTGGAATAATGACTGAATAATTCATCGAAGTAAGCATAGGAGTAGGGGGTTGTTTTGTGTGTGTGTGTGTGTGCGAGCAAACATCATGCTTTTAAAGTTTCTTTGTTTTAACGTGCACACGTGTAAGCTGAAACGAGTGGGAGCTTCGTTGTGATGCTTGGCTGCGTTAAAATAGCGAAAGGAAAAATAAAAACAGGAAGAGAGAAAGAGAGAGAATGAGAGAGATCGCGTGAAGAGGGAGGGGGAGGGTGGGGAGAAAAAATATAGGACGAAAATTGCGATGTATAGTAATCGATTTGTGTATTTGAATAAGCGAATTCACGGTGTATTGGAAAATAAAGGAAAGAGTTCTGCTACTATTCACGTATTCTTGTGATTTTTTTCATTCTCCTTCTTTTCTACATTTTCTCTTTCTCTCTCTTTTATTTCTTTTGTTTTCTTCTCTACCACCGTACAAACACGGAATTTATTCCTATTATATTTATAATATATCATATTTAATTATTATACGGTTAATCAAGTAAAGAAGAGAGAAGGATTAAATCCTTTGAATTAACAATAAATACTTTTTTGTGTGTATTACTTTTTCTTTTTTTATTCTCCATTGAAAATAAAATTAATTGAATAAAAATGAAAACTCAAATCAAACGATTGAATACTTTTTGTTGAAAATTTGAATGCATTATTTTATATAATATAATTTAATCTTCATTATGTGTTGAATATATTGTAAAGGAGATGATAGAGAAGAAGATGAAGAGAATTTTCATGTTGAATGATAGAAATTATGTGATTGTTATCTTCCTGTCATTTTATTTTCTTCTTTATTTTCTGAAGTGATACTTATACGAACTACGGTAACGAACGTGATACAGAAAGCACGTAAATATGCATCTATAAGTATAGACGTGACGCGAGGATAAAGATGATAGAAAGAGATAATGACTGACATGAGTGTTTGCTAGAAAGACGATATAACGAGGAAAATATCAAGAAATTATTATTCATATAGTTCATCGTGTATCTGATAGTCTTATTCGTGTCACATACAATCTCAGAATAACGATAATTTCTCGTCCTTTCTATTTATTACACTTAACCAGTTGACTGTGGAATTTAGTTTCAAAAGATTACCACAGGGTGTGGAATTAAAAATAAGAAACGACGTGTATACACGTCGAACCCAGGGCAAATGGTATTATTATACATTTTACAAAAAACGAGGAAGGATTACATTTTTATTCAAAGTCAAAAAAAATTAACAATTCGTTTTTGAATACGTTATTCTTACTAAAAACTAGAAAATTGTCAAAAAATAATAAAATACATAAACAAGAAAAATTGAAGATAGGAAGAATAAAGAAAAAAAATAAGAAAATAGTTAACAAAATTTCAAGCTATGTATGTGTGATATGTTTCAAAGTGTGCATGGTACTACGCAAAGTGCGACTTCACAGGTCGTACACCAAAACCTTGTTTCCTTGCGTTTACCATTTTTTGAGCAAACGGCACATCTTATAAATAAAAATAAATTAAATAAATATAAATAAAATACATAGAGGTCGTATTGATAATATAAAGAAAACATACTACCAAATAATATTCTTATTACATTTTATTGAGATTTCGAGTTTTTATAGTGAATGGTAATTTTTTATTTTACACGACGAATATACACGTCAAACGCACCGCAGTAGAGATTTGGACCGACGTGTATACATGACAAACGCACTTAACTGGTTAAGCCTTCTCTTTTTTTTTATTATTTTATTTAAATAAAACATTCGAGAAAATAGAAAAAGAAGAGAAGGAAGAGTAGGAGAAGGAGGAAGAAAAAAGAAAAGAATGCAAAAAAATGGTAAAATTATGGTAAGGGAAGAGAATTTGGGATAATACGAGGAAAAGTTTTCGCCAGTGAATCTTTTTACGAGGATTAATCTTTTATTCATGAGAGGAATTAGATGATATATTCTTTAAAGATCGTAATGATCGTAATAAATATTTTCTCGGAGATGTTTGCCGAATGAATCACATTGGTGGCTTCCACGAGGTTTCTCAGTAGGAAATATGAAATGGTCATTAATCAAGGAGCAATGGCGTCTCGTCCTGGAACGACGACAAGACTTATCGTGCACTTTCTCGAAGTGTGCCTTCTTCGGTGGACCGTGAATATGACACTAATCCGAATAAAGGAAAAATGAATCTTCTTCTCTCGATTCCCTCTATTCTCCCCTGTTATCCACCCTCCATCCAAATTTCTATGTTATTTGATTCTCATCGATACGAAGAGATGAACGAATGTTTGGTCGACGCTTTGGCGTCTCTTTGCTTTTTGCTTCCTGTAATTTCCTCTTACTCCATATAATTTTCAATAATACTCGAATATAATTCACGCTAGTATAATATCATCCCTCTTCAAGGAACTGAATAAACAAGGTTATACATCTTTCAAGTATCTCCAACGTCTAGACAAAGTACTCAGTAATTTTCTGTCAATCATTTTATTTGGGTATTAAATTTTATCCAATTATAGTATTATTTTAATCTGCTGTCTATTTATTTTGCAAAAAAGGTCTTTAAAATTACATATGTTCGTCGTGAATAATCGTAATGAAGGTATACTATATGCATACTATAAATGCAACAAATAAACAAGAACTTTGATCAAAGGATTCAATTCCTTTATCTACTATTATTTCTTTTATACTGGAAATATCGTTTGTCATTTCGAATAATGTAATAAAGTAATTTATATCAGAAATGTGAAATGATGCGACCATAGATTGTAATATTATTAATTGCAAATAAGTAACGTGACTAACAATATATACAGACTTATTATATTATTATAATTAGTTTAACTTTCACACATAATTACATAATATTATATTATTAGGTCGAGTCATAAGTAACTTCCGATGCGGCTATGTAGAATCTATTTTTCGTATTTACCTACTGTAAGTCACCGAAACAAAAGGATTTTCGATATCACTATATAGATGAGGATTCAGTTAGTCTTCTGTTAAATTTTTTATGCAGTCAATGTTACATTTAACCGTTTTTCTTAACCACTAAAATGGATAGTAAAAAGTGCATATTCGACATATAATGCTTTAAGAATTGAAAGAAGGCAATAGCACTAAAGTGGCAACTGAAAAAATATGCAGCGTATACAGTACAGGACTGATAACTGATAGGGCAGTCAAAAATTGGTTTGTAAAATTCTGTTCTGGAGATACGATCTTAAAAGATGAACCGAGTGAAGGACGTATTTCCGACTTTGACGAACCTTTTAAAGATAATATTGGAGCAAAATCCAATAGATACGTTGAACAATTGCAAAGAGTGCAAAAGAAACTCCATGAAAGGTGTCTTGCACTTATCAGTTGCAGAAACGCCATTCTTTGTCTCATAAAAAACGGAAATTACTTATGATTCGACCTAATATATACTTTATTTAATAAACAATTCTTTATTTTTGCTTACTCTTTTTCGTTTCTTACAGGCCCATTTTTCTAACTTCCATCAACTCTTTAAAACAAACCCCATCATTCCTCTAATTTTCTTTTTTTTTTCCAGAAACTCACGAAAGATACACTTCAACTTTCGACCTAACTTTACTATTTCAAAATCTACTCTTAACTTTTAAAAATTTCTTCATCTACTACATATGAGCTAAACAAGATAAAAAAATAAAACTCTGCATGCAAAGTTTTCGAGTTATTTATTGTATTAGGGAACAAACTTATATGGTGTCCCAGTTATTCCTGAAACTGGCACGTAGTATTCTGATTTATAGAACTTTTTTTTTTTATTATTTATTGAATTAAGATATATTATTACCGTTATTGATTTTCAATAAATTTTCTAAAAAAGATCTTTATCGTTTTAAATGATAATTATGTATGTGTGTGCATGTGTGTACAAAGAGAATAAAAAAAAGACTTTGATCAAAGAACTTGATTTTCGATTGACTGTTATTGCTTTATACTGTGAATCATCGTTTGATATTCAAAATAGTTCAATTTCAAATTCGATTTTATCCCGGTCACAATACTGATCTATACAGGGTGATTCTTAAAACGGAGGCGGGAAATAACTTTTTTTTAAGTAATAATAGAATAGAAAAAAATCATAAAGGAAAAAGTTAAATGGCACAACAAATGACAACTTTCTATAATCTTACTTTTTTTGAAAATGCATCGATGCACCCGCTAGATGTAGTTGCACTTTCTTTTTAAATGAAACTTTATAATTTTTTTACACTATTCGATTCCTTTTTTTATTCTGCGTTAAAAAGTATTAA